TTATCAGAATACCATATAAATTCACAATTGGTCCTGACTAAATTTAAATGAGTATAATAAAATTTAAAATACAATGCTTTTATTCAGGGCAAAGAATACTCTCATATTTATGTGAGAACAACTAAACAATGCAGACTGGAACTCGTTAGACAAAAAGGCAAATCAAAACTATAGAACCATATATTAAATGTTCCTGGGCAGTTCTAGTTCACGAGGTCCATGGTTTACAAATGTAATTTATACGGATACCCAGCCATATTCAATATATTAAAACATAAAAATGAGTATGGTAAACTTCTATTTTGTCAACAGCGAGGACAGCAAGTTGAGAAAATGGTCCAAAAGGCCATCCCCACTGCTTCCAGTGCAGATGTCATCTAAGGATTACTACAGCTGGAGGGTTGGGGGGAGCTACACGAGTCATGGGACTCCTCCCTTCCTACCCTAGCTGGCTGTCCACAATAACAGATCTGTGAATGAACCCCCATTTTGTGCAGATTTAATGCGTGTTTTTTCCTACATTCAGTCTCTTACAGCAGGGCATACATACCTGAGTCGTCTATTATTATTCAATTAACATCAAAACATATGTTTTTTTTTCACAGTAACTCCAATGACAATGTAAGTTTAGTGCTGTCACGGTGAGTTTTTTGATACTTTTAAGACTACTCTGCCAGAAAAGAGCAAGGGCATACCAATTTGCATCCAGTACACACAGATGAAATGGGGCATTTCTTCATAAAACAAAGACGAATGGGGAGACAGAAATCTACCACCAACAGATATAAGGGAGAGGGAGGGAGCTAGGCGTAAATATCAAGAAGGCACAAGAGTGGGGACGCCAGCCTGTCTATTAGGAATCACTTCATTTCTAATGCCCTAGTTGTGAGATTCCTGAATGAGGGAGTGAAGGCTTAGGAGATGGCCCTCGAGCTGATAACAGAAAAATAAACTGAGAATTGATCTGAAGAATGACAACCAACAAAGCTGCAGACAAAGCCCAAATGGCATGGGCCCGAGGATCACAAGAACAGCCATCATGAGCATGTAGACACTTGGTGGCAAGCACGGGGCTAACATTCTATATGCATGTTACCATCTAACAATTCTCAAGTAATAATTCTCAAGCCAGAAAGAAAAAGTCTAGGGAGATACGCTTTAATATTCTCTGCATTACCTTTCTCTCCCAGCCCCAAATCACACCTCTTCTGCCTTTATACTTCACCTACCCTATTCCCAAGAGAAGGCAACCAAAGCATGACCTGTTTCAAACCAGGGCAGAATGCAGTGAACTGACTGACAGCTTCTGTTTTCTCAGGTATTCTACTGAAAATGCATCATAGCAGAGGAGCTTTCACATAGACAGAAAGTAGCCAGCTCATGAAAAGTCTACATTCTGAAACCTCCACATCTAGGTTCCTAATAGATTCTACAATTTCTGATCCTTCAAACAAATACTATGAACATACCATATCCCTTGGGCTACCTTTATTTTGCCTACACTAGTTCTTAATTCAGCCTGTGTGGATGTTAAGACTTTTTGAGAGATCACTTCAATATACAGGAAGACTGCAGTCCAAGCACATGTTAAGTCTTTGGAAATGAACCTCTCTACACTGCTGAAGTAGCACTAAAGTGACAAATGACAGTAATCCAATGGCCCAAGGCCAGTAAATTCCATTGCAAACAAATTTATGTTTTGTGCCATAGTGATTCCTGCATGTGTGGCAGTAAACAGAAATGTAACAGCCTAATTACAAATTCAAAAGCAAGCTTTTCTTACTATTTTCCATACTTGAGTATATTAACAGTAAGAAGTGTCCTCAGCAACCACCTTTAATGTGCCACTTGAAAAACCAGATCCATTAACAGCAAGTACTTACATGTCTGAAATTTGTAAAAACACAAAAACAAACAAAAAATAACCTTGATGTAACTAACCGGCGTAAAGATGATACACCTTTTCTCAATTACTCGAATTACTTGAATATTATATTCTGAGCAGAGCACAAAGTAAATGTGCCGCTAGGCTTGGCATTCGTAATCATTAAGCTTTGCAATTCTTTCCTCCTTTAAGTTTTCCTGTGTGAACCACCATTAAAAATCATGTCGGTTCTACATAAAAAAGCCCTGGAATATATGTCCAAACTTTTGCTCTAGAGAGGAATTTAGAAAAGACGTGGGTCCACTTATTATTCACTGTAATTTCAGTACACTGTGGTCCCAAGAAGATGGGCTCCAGAGCATGAGGGCCAGGCTCTGGATACAGCTCATCTGCACTGCTGGTCTGTAGAAACCACTGAGGCACCCATCAAGTCACCAACTTTAAACAGCATATCTAGTCTTAGGACGTGTTTCAAGATTTTGCTGTCACTATGCAAAAGAAAACTGGCATCTCCAACTATCTTGTATTCAAATTTTATTTACTTCAACTGCTAACTATTTGAGACTCCAATAAAAATGTATCTCTTTCAAGAATTACTAATGCAGCTGTCAGCTATAAAGATATTAAATGATACAGTAACACTCTGCCACATGTTGTAAATTGGATCCAAGAAATTCCACAGTGCAAAATATGGGGGGGGGCCCTCAATATTTCGAGGGAATTAAAACACTGGGGTGAGGCCTGTTGCAGAGGACCAGGACAAGAGCAGCCACATGATTTCCAAACAGGGTGCAGGAAGCATTACTATGGGGATTTCACTATAATCAACTTCAATGATCGCAAAATTCCTTCTGGTTTAAGGTAGAACTGGTCAGTTCAAATTAATTATACTAGATCATTTCATCAGTTCCCTCATGACAGCAAATTTTCATAAATTAGAGATGTACTTACACTTCAATTGTCAAAGTTCATCATTTGTACTTGTTATTAATAAAATGTTGAAAGCTACTGGCATTAGAAACGTTTCTGAGTTTTGCACTGTTTCATGTCAATCCAGAGAACAGGGTGTAATCAACAGTATGGAAATAAGATATAATCTATAGAAAAAATTTAAACTGTAACTTTAACAATCCAATTTCAAAATAGGACACTTACTGTTAATTTGTGGTTGTCATTCCCAATAGTAAACAAGCAATATGCATATCATGGTGCTTAGCAGAGTACGTGCTCAATCAATATTTGTTGAATTAATGAATGAATGGCCATTAAGGCTTCAGGACTCTTAGGACAGTAGGTTACTGAATAAAAGAATATATTAAAATACTCAGCCTGACTCAAGCAGTATCCAATAATTAAATCCTGTCACGTGTGATTTCATTACTTGTTTTCATTACTAGTCTTTAAAAAAATTATGAGAAATCATACTATTTCCATTGTTAGCCTCTCCATGCTAGAACTCAACAGCATTTAAATCGTACTTTGAAAGAATAAACCCAAAGTGCGGCTAGCATTTATGTTCAAATTTCTGCCACTCCCGATTTTCTAAAGATGTGTATAGGCCATACTGTTGTATAAAACATCAATACTACGACAATGAATGTGAATAAAATTACACTTGAGTTTACATATTATCACCACTAACATTTCAATCAATTCTGCAGCATGATTGGTGCTTATAATGGAAGTGAATTATGCCTACATATTTCAAAATCACTAACAATTATATTACACATTAGTTCACAATGAACCTTGTACCTATCCATGCTTATTTTAACAATAAACTATTTGCAATCATATTTAAGTTGAGGAAAAGGCAAACACCAAAACTTTAAAAAATTTTTAATTACACAATTGTAAAAATTATTCAACTACTAAGTCCCTTTTCTGTGCAAAGCACTAAATACAAAAAAGTAGAGGTACACGTGAACAGCAAGTTAAAGGGGGAAAACTTCTAGTGCAAACTAAAGTACTAAAAATTTAAAGAAACTGCAGCTTCCTGTAAGACCTAATTTTTTAAAGCCGTTTTCGCGTTTTAAATTCCACAACACGAATTAATTATGTTATTAAAATCGACTTCATTTCCAAAAGAGCAACAAAAACCAATAGCTTATAAAGGGTTAGGATTTACCCGCCACCAGTTTTCCGAATAGCTACTTTGTTTCATTTCCCATATTTAATACAAAACAACAGAGATGGTATAAAAGTGTGCAATAATTTCTAGGGACTATATATCAATAAATCAGCGGTCTACAGCAAGCTTGACAAATAATACCACATGCCGATTTTTTATCCAGCGTGATTGTAGAGTCGGGGGTGAGGGGGATGGGGGCAACAGCTCAACTCTACACATACATCTCCCTAAAAGCCGAAGGTGTATTTTACTTTCTTTCCACTATTGGATTATTACAAACGGCCCCTAAGCTTTAGAAACCGCTGTGACAGGGTGAGTTAGTGTCATCCAGGCTGAGGGGATTCGAGCAAAAGATGTCACTCAAATGCAAGTAAAAGTACGGTCCTGCGACTTATTTCGAGTTTTCTTTGCAACAGTATCCTAAGGCTGCTCCTTAGTGACTTAAGTCTAAAAATCAGAAAACCAGTAAGCCCCCCACCCCGTGGTCAATCAAGCTAAGAAAGCAACCTTTGAAGGCGGGGGGGAAACCGGGCACCCCCAAATCTTGGTGGCTTGCTCCGGGCAGAGAGGCAACCGGAGTGCTTAGATCCCTCTGCCGCCCCGGGGGCCTCCCGAAGCCCCCTGGCTGCTTCTTGGGGCGACAAGGGCCCCATTCCACCGTCGGCGCGGTCCAACCCGGGAGATTAACCCCTTCGCGCCCCCCACGCCCTCTCCGAGAGGGCCCGGACGCCCCCTCTCCGCTGCTCCCTCAAGACCGGGGCCCGGCGGGCTCTGGCGCGGGTCGAACCGGGGCTGTGGGCGGCCGAGACTCGGAGGCGGCGGGAGGCTCGGGGCCTACTCCCGGGCAGCGTGTCCCGGCGCCCTCCCCCACTCCCACACGCTCGCTCTCGGCCAGGGTGCGGGTGCTTGCCCGCCGCCCGCCCCGGTGCCCGCCAGCCAGCGGCTCGGGGCCCCTTCCTGCCGAGGGCACGGGCCAGCGGCTACCTGTGGGCCGTGGAGGGCCATGGCGGCCCGTTTCAATGAGCCTCCACGCTCGTCCGACTCCTCACGCTGCTACCCCTGTCGCCGCCATCTTCTCGCCCGCACATACACACTCGCATCGGCCGCCGCGCCTGCGCACTGGCCGCGCGCCGCGGGGCGCGGGGAGGCCGGGCGCGCCGGGCACGCGCTGCGCATGCGCGGCCGACAGGTGGGCGTGCGCGGCGGGAGCCGGCCCTGGGTGGACTCTGAGCCTCCTTTTCTGCCGCGGATGCGGGCCTGCGGTTTGCAGAAGACGAACCCCTGGACCTCGGCTGCGATGCCGGAAGGGGAAAGGGCAGAGGACCGAGATGATAACGCCAAAGCGCCCCACAGGCCTGGGTTTCTCACCTACGGGGAGGCCACCTAAGTGCTGGGCGGAACTTGGGACGTTGGGAGCCCGGGAACCGCGGCCTGAGGTCGGTCCGGGTCCCGCGAACCACAGGGTCTCCTTAAGCCAGGGTCTCCGAAGTGAGCGCAGGAGATCCGGAGGAGTCCCCTGGTTTATGGAGATCACATTTCCTTCTATTCATTCACTTATTCGCTGAACGAAGGTTCATCCCACATACTCTGCGCCACGCCTTTTGCGAGGCATTGCAATATTAAAAACCAAACAAACCAACGCCACTTGTAAAGCTCCCTGGCAAAGAGTAAACACACTCAATTACCTATTACACACATACTGTGTGTATCCAACTGGACCATCTTTGGGGTCATCGGTTCAAGAAACGGAGCCGCCTACCTGACCACGCAGTTTTCCATCGGGTTTGGCACGTTTTCTAACCTGAGTGATTTCAGGCAAGCTACTTCTTTTTCCTAAGCTTTTGGTTTCCTCACCTATGAAAGAGACTAATAAAATGTCTTATAAGATTTCTGTAAGGATCAAATTCGATGAGTGCGAGCCAAGAGAGCCAGCCCTCAGCGAAAATTAGCTACTGTGATTATTATAACCATTATCAACACACATGTACAGAGAGCCTACTATTGCCAGATCCTGTGCTAAGCAGCAGAGATCAACAGAAAGATCTATTCCTACATTCCATGAGACATGTAGCCTTTTCAAAAATAGGATGCCCGTGAAAAATATAAATAGGGGGAGGGGTTGTTCTAAAATAAAAGCCGAAAAGACATAACCACATACAATGGGTAAATCTTGAATGGACCCTGGTGTGTTTTTTTAGCTGGTAAGTATTTTTTGACAGTTGGAGAAATTTGAGTATGGCTTTGATATAGATGATTTTAGTGAATTATTGGTAACTTGCATAGTGTAATAACCAACTGTGCTCATGTGAGAGAATGTTCTTATTGTTAGGCTATGAATCTGAGAATTTAGAGGTGAATGTCATAATGCCTATGAGTTTTTTTAGTGTTTCAACAAAAAAATAAAATCATATAAACATACAACTATACATAGAGAGAAAGCAATTAATGCAAAGTGTTAACAATTGTTGGACCTAAATGGTACTATCAACTTTTCTGTATGTTTGAAATTTTTATACAAGCTGGGAAACAGTATGATATTGCATCCACACTATGGTTACAATCACAGCAAAATTAAATCTGCACATGGATAAAAAAATGGAAGGATGTGAAAACTAATTGGTGACTTACTGTGGTTGATACCTGATTTTTATCATAATGGTGCTTGAACAAAAAATAAAAATTGTGGTGAACACACAATGTAATATATAGATGATGTATTACAGAATTGTACACCTGAAACCTATGTAACTTTGCTCACAATTGTCACCCCAATAAACTTTAATTTAAAAATAAATAATATAAAAATAATAAAGACTCAGTTTTAATTTTTAAATCACTCACAGAGATATTAACACATGATTTCAATACAAGGAGATACATGTTAAAAGGAAGGTGTGAACAAGCACTGTGGGCCCTGCAGTGTTTAGCAGGCCCTGGTACCTGTGATGGATGGGTCTAGGGCCAGTAGAAGAACTCAGAGTCAAGAATTTAAAATCCTGACTCCCCCCACCCCACTGGGCTTTGTGAACTTTAGAAGGTTACTTAACCTTTCAGTGAATCTTTTGTAAAAGAAGGTATTGTAGGCAGAATAATGTGCCCCCCCATCCCAAAAATATCCACATTTTAATCCCTAGAACTTGTGAATATGTTACCTGACATGGCAAAAGGGACTTCGCAGGTGTGATTAAATGAAGGACCTGAAGATGGGGAGATTATCTTGGATTATCTGGTTGCGCCCCATGTGAGCACAAGGTCCTTATAGGAGGGAGGCCGGCAAGTCAGGCAAGAAGATAAGACAACAGAAGGAGTTGGGAGGGACCGAGGGAGGGGGAGAGGGAGAGAGAGATTCTGTGCTGCTAGTTTTGAAGATGGAGGGAGGGGCCATGAGCCAACGAATGCAGGCAGCCTATAGAAGCTAGAAAAGGCACTGCCTCACCTCTCTGAACCTCAGTTTCCCAATCTATAAATGGGAGCAATAATACCTGGTAGAGATGTAGTGAGAACAAATATAATAACAAGATAACATATGTAAATACTTGGCAAGACGTCCAGTGTACAGCAAGAGCTCAATAAATGGTGGAAATTATCTTTATTATTCTGACTCCTTGGGAAGGAAGGTGATATTTGCACAGGAAGGGCTCAGTACCTTTGACAGGATTTATTGCCCATAATAAAATTCAAGCTTTCAAGCAAAAATTAGAATTGTGGGAAAGCCATCTCCACCATTGTGATCTGGGCAGTTTCCCAATACTTAAAGACTTTTCTGGTGAGAGTGGTGGTGATAGTAACAAATAAGATTTTTTTTTAATAATGAATAATGCAATGCTTCAACATTTGAAAGATCTGCATAACTCAGTGCATCAATATTTTCCAAATGACCCATGTGGGATGTTATAAAATCATGCATGAGTAAAAGATCCATTCATAGTACGAGACAGACCAATGGATTATGATTGAACAGGGTACAAAAAGTTCATTGATATGATTTCACATTTCCCTTTGCAAGTTTCTTTTCGGAAATTTGTTTTCTTTTGGCAGAGCAACAAAGAAAAATGCCCATAATTTTCTGAGAAGGCTACGCCTCTTGAGCAATACATATTTTAGGAAAATACCCCTCCCTCCCTTTCCCAACTACATTATCTGCGTGAGGCTAGATTTTCTTCACCTATTTCAATCAAAACCACATATCCCATATACAGACTGAATTCAGTAGCCCATAGGAGAATCCAGCTGTTTTCTTGCTAAGCGAGACATTCAAGAACTTTACCAAAAAAAACCCCAAAATCATGCCACCTTCCCACCCAAATTTTTTGTGTTGGAAAACAGTTATTTTTCATGAAACTGTGTTTATATGTTGGCATACAATGAGTTTATGATTAATAAATTGTCATGCGTATTTTAAATATCTCTGCTTTCCTTCCTAGATGGTAAATAACAATAGATTTTTTTTTTAAGATTTTTATTGGGGAGTTGGGGGGATGGGAACAGCGCTGGGGAATTGGGGGAAGGGGAACAGACAAGTTGCTGTCCTTTTGTTCTTCAGTCTAGTTGTAGAGGACGTTGCT